ACTTCCGGCCGGCGTTCCCACGGCCCTGCCCGCGCATGCGCGCCGCCCCCTGCCCCCGGAAGGGAAGCTGCCGGGGCGGTGGACTGTGGGAACACGCGGAGACGTCGTCGCTCCGGCGGGCGCTGCACCCAGGCTCTTCTTGCTCAGTGCCGTGATCCTTGGGGGTTTACGGTGTGTGGTTTCAGTCAGTGCTCGCTCTCCCAAGAGCCTGAGGCCGTTATCCCCCTAGGGCTGGTGCTCTGGTCTATTCAGAACGTTTTATTGTGATTTGAGTGAGTCTACAGAGCAAGTTAGCTTTCCATCCAACAATTCATAGGCACTTCTGAGCTCTGGTATCGCTGCACCTCCTCGGATCGTTGAAGGCTCCACTCTAAAAGTGGACATTGATTAAGGAAGACTGCAGAACCGATGCTTTCGGATTATGGTGCTGGTCAAGAATCCTGAACATTCCGTGGACTCCCAGAAAAACCAATCAATCTCCCTTGGAAATATAGCCAGGCAAACCTTCATCTCACAAACTTTGGACCTGTTATCAGACCAGTCCCCGGAGAAGGGCTTAATGCTTGGCAAAGTAGAGTGTAGTGCGAAGAGGGCAAGACCTTTGTTGAGCTAGAGCAGTGGTCTGCAACCTTCCTAAAGGTGACACCCTTTCATACAGTTCCTCATGTGGTGGAGGTTGGCAATCTGGCTGCCAGGTTGACACAGCGGTCACAATGGGCTCAAACAGCAAGCCAGGAGGGTGCAGCACTGGGGAGTGCCGTGTTCTGAGACACTGGGTTCCAAGGAGTGGGAACCCACTCAACAGCTCTGCCAGTCATCACTGGCTGGCAGGAGACGGGTGGTGAGATTAGAGAACTTCCCACTTGACGGTCCAAGGCCCTGGTTTACATGATGGGATGGGTAGGAATCCCCCCGGCCCGGGGAAGGGCAAAGTCAGGAAATGCTTATTTCCTAAAAGTGGAAAGCTTCGAGCTGAGACTTGAACATTTTCCAAACTAGCGGCTTGCCCTTTTTATACTCACCCCACGGGGACAATCACTTTCAAGTAACAGTGGGGCAACAAGGGATACAGCCAGTCATGTCACCAGGGGCCAGAAGCAGTGTTTATTGTGACAGGCCGGGGCGATAGAAACCTGGGAAGAAGTCACTGTGGTGACCCAGAGCCCATCTCGTTTTCTCCTCCCTTCTTCTGGGGATCCGGAAATGTGGAGGCAGCAACGTGGGTGGGTATACCTGGGTGTGCTACCAGGAGAGGCCAGCAGAGGGTGCTAGCGGCGCACACAAGACCAACATTTTCCAGAGTAGGCAGCTCTAAGCCCTCTTCATGAAAGCTGCTCCCGTAGTTAATTCTCAGGAGCACCATTCTGTCCGTGTCAGCATCAATTCAAAGGCAGTGCATTTGCTTGTCTCTAGGGAGCCTGGGGTCTCCAGATAGGTGTCCCTAAGCAGGGCAGTTTCCTCAGCAGGGGCCACCACCCATCTTGGCCTTTCTCTTGATGCCCCTCCCCCTTCTGCAGCCCAACTAACCTCTGACCAAGAAGCTCCTGTGCCCAGCAGCCCATCATCATAGGAGCAAACATCACGTAGGTCCAGTAAATGCGGGGTTAGCGGGTGAATGGTGGTCGGCTGGGATTGGAGGCAGGCTTTCACCCCAGCTGACCTTTGCTCCTCTCAGGCCCTCTCCAATCACATGGAGCCGTCGCTGGCCGTAGACCTACCCTGCCTCTGCACTGGGAAGCTTTTAGTCTTCAGCCTGATGATGTACTTGAGGGACAACTGAAGCCCCCACTGGCCCAGGATTCAGGACGAGCCCCCAACCCAGGTCAGCCATAGCTTCTCTCCCCCCCAGGCCTGGGGCCCTGCTCCAAACTTTCTCTCCACAATCACCTGACCAAGCTGGAGCTTCAACCACCATGAAGGGCCTGAGAACCACTCTAAAAGCCAACTAGTCGGTTTCATGTTGGAGGTGCCCAGGCAAACTACAAGGGGCACCCCTGCACCAAAGGTAGGGAGGGCCAGGCCCACAAGCCCTCAGGAACTCCACATGGGTTAGATGAAGGAGAAATCATCTTCTCTGGAGAAGCCGGCCACCCTCACCCCACGGGAGGCCAAGTGCAGTAACACCCCAGGTTTTTGTGCTGCTTCCTTCCTGCTGGGAGGTGCTGTCATTTGTTGAAAGAAAAGGAACCAGGACGACCACATTTTGTAGTCAGTTCAGTTTGTTAAAGTCCCAGGAAAAGAAAGGGGCAGGAGAGAGTAAGAACCAGGGGCGAGCTCGCAGCTCCAGGGGGGGCTCAGGGCCTGGGGGCAGTGGCGGGCGGGTGGGCGGCCAGCTGGCTTTGAGGGGAAGGAGCCCCACCTCCCTGTTCCCCCTCTTCCCTGGTCCACCCCACCAGGAATTACCAGGAGGCCGGGAATAAAAGGTTTCAAGTTCAATAGTCACACTCTCTCCAAATACAAAAAGCAGTTACACTTCAACTCAACACAGAGACCTGTGTGCAGTTCTGGGGACTGAGACAATGTATAAAAGGGTTACAGGTAAAGGTCATCTTGTGGTTTGTTGTGTGAGTTCATGTGGTTTTGTTTCCAGGGGGGTGGCTCTTCCTCAGTTGCATGAACCCAGCAGATGGTTACCTTGATGAAAGAGTAACAGCCCACCCACAGTAAAAACGGACAAATTCTGAAAATTAAAAAAAAAAAACAAACAAACCCCAAACAAACAAAAGCATAATTACAAAAAAAAACACCCCAAAACAAAAACAAAACCCCCACTCTCACTCCTCCCTCCACATTTTTACTTTTTAAAACTCATGGGCTGTGTTTTTTTGCTTTTTTTTAATAAAGTTTCTGATTTTTTTTTTAATCCTGAAAAGTAGACAGTAAAACAGCTCCTGGAAGAATTTACAATAAACTTCATGAGGGTCTGGGAAGCTGGGGGGCTGGGACGACTGGATGGGAGGGTGCCCACCCCAGTCCCCAGAGCTTCAAGGTATGACTGTGGGAGGAGGGCCTCTTTAGTCAAAAAGGGAGGAGGGAGAGGAGGGAGGACGTGGGAGCAAACAGAAAATGAAAGATCCTTGCTGCCTGTAGACTCCAGGGGGGGGGAAGAAGCAGCCCCTGGTGGAAGGCAGCCCTGGGACGGCCTCACCCCAGTACCCTGGCCCACCCGGTGGGGGCGGCGGAGGCCCGGTGGGCAGGGGCTGGTGTCAGAGGCCCTTGGGCGGACAGGCAGGGCGATGGGGCAGCAGGGGGGAGCCCCCGGCTACTGTGTGCTCGTGCCGCCCTGTGTACTCCCGGAGTAGCTCCCATAGTCGTAGTTCCCGTAGTAGGGCGGCCACTGGCCCTGGTTCTGGTAGTACTGGTTCCACTGCTGGGCATACTGGGGAGAGAGACGGGCCGGGGGAGGTCAGGCAGATGGAGCACTGGGCTGGGCCTCCTCAGACCCACCCCCACCTAGGGAAGAGTCGATGGTGGCTGACAGATAGGTCCCCACCGACAGAAACTATGGAGGACCAGTGACTGACACGGTGTCACCCAGAGGGCAGATGGGGATGGCTTACCTGGTGTCCTGGAAGGCACAGTGAGATGACAGATTCAAAACACCGCCACCCACAACCCCCAAACCCTGGAGAAGTATATGCATATCACGCCCACCCACAGCATAGCTGGACCCCAGCTATGAGGCCAGCAGGCTGTCATCTTTCCAAAGAGAAATTGGTACTCAAGCCTGGGGAAAAAAACCCAGGTGGGCCCTTAAAATCTCCCCACCCAATAGGGTCCCCACCTGGCACCTACCTGATGATACTGGTTATAGGTCGGCTGAGGGTAGGTCTGTGCGGTGGGGGGTGGCGGTGGGGTGTAGGGGGCTGGGGTGTACCCGCCGTAGCTCCCGTAGTTGTAGGCAGGCGGTGGTGGTGGTGGAGGGGGAGGGGCCGAGTAGGCCTGGGCGTAACCTCCCTGGCTGTAGGGTGGCTGGGTGTAGCTCGGCTGCAGAGGGGGGATAAACAAACAAAATATCATAAGCAAATGTGAAGAAAGCTGATGGTGCCCGGCTGTCAAAAGATAAGAGCCTGGGGTCCTATAGGCTTGAAGATAAACAAGCGGCCATCTAACTGAGAAACAACAAAGCCCACATGGGAGAAGCACACCAGCCTGTGCGATCACAAGGCATTGAAGAGATCAGGTATCAGGCATCAAAGAACAAAGAAATCATAGCATTGTGAGTGAGATTGGGGACCCACAGTCCATCTGTAGCTAACAGGACATCCCCTTGCAGAAGGGTGTAGTGAAGCAACAATGAAACATGTAACTTTCCTCTACTTCTTGAATGCTTCCTCCCACCCCACTATCATGATCCCAATTCCACCTTACAAATCTGGCTAGACCAGAGGATGTACACTGGTACAGATAGGAACTGGAAATTCAGGGAATCCAGAGTGGATGATCCCTTCAGGATCAGTGGTGTGAGTGGTGATACTGGGAGGGTGGAGGGGAGGGGAGGGAGAAAAGGGGAATCGATTACAAGGATCTACATATAACCTCGTCCCTGGGGGACGGACAGTGGAGAAGTGGGTGAAGGAAGATGTCAGACGGTGTAAAATATGACAAAACAGTAATATATAAATGATCAAGGGTTCATGGAGGAGTGGGGAGTGGGGAGTGAGGGGAAAATGAGGAATTACTACCAAGGGCTCAAGTAGAAAGCAAATGTTTTGAGAACGATGAGGGCAACCAATGTACAAAATTTCTTGACAAAATGGATGTATGTGTGGATTTTTTTTTTTTAATCATTTTATTAGGGGCTCATATAACTCTTATCACAATCCATACATACATCAATTGTGTAAAGCACATTTATACATTCATTGCCCTCATCATTCTCAAAACATTTCCTCTCCACTTAAGCCCC